GAAAGAGAGGAGGACTTTTAGACTGCAAACTAGACATTCATTCCTTTGAGGCAGTGAAATGCATCCCTGGACGCTCTCAGCTTTCTTGACTTCTTAAAGAAACCAGTGGGAGCACCCAGACTTCATGACCCTCCCCTCTGTAAAGTCATCTGAGCCCTCCAGGATGGTCAAGGACATAGGGAGCTGTTTGAGACAAGCCATGGACCACAAAAAGTTGAACAGGGGGAATCTAGACCCCTCCTGGGTTTCTTCCTCTAGTTTAAGACTGACTTCTCTGCAAGGGAGAAAACATCTGAGCTTGTGTCTTCTGCTTGCTCTGTAAGACAAGCAAGAAGAGCATGGAAAAGTTAAAATATAATTCTGCTGGGTTCTTTGATGGAAGAAACTCAGCTCTTCTCTAGATTGAAAGGTCCTGCAGTGGCTCTGTCACAGGAGACAAGAAATGAACACCAGCAAGGGAATAAGATTTTGTTTAAAACAGTTCTATTGGCTGACTTTTAATACGATCGTTTGAATGTCAGAGGCTGATTAGCAGCTGGGACAAAGATGCCCTTTTCATAGACTAAGGGCAGCAAACCCTGTAAAAAGCTTTCCTCACCAACAAAAGAAGGCAGAAGCAGGGACTACATAACCAGTGTGCTCTCTTGAACTGGAGAAGAAGCTGCTGCTTCAAAGGAAGACATGGAAAGCTTTCTGAGAACTGAGCAGATGGGGGAAGTCTGTCCCTACACCGGGTTTCAAATAGCCAGGAGTTACCTTCAGCTCCAGTGTGGTATACTCACCAATGCTTCATTAGCATTAACTCTGGAAACACTTGGTGCCATTTAAACGTGCACTTCACGTGGGACTCTGGCTAATTCTTTGGCCTGAATGATTATTTAGGGCAATGAACTCAACAGTTTAATTTCTTGCTCTATGAAAACTGTTTGGGTTCTATATGTTTTGAATTTGGCAGGTTTTATTTTACTTGAATGGCCTCAAATTATGAGATGCAGGAACTAAGAACTTAGTGACTTTCCAAAAAAAAAGCCACAAATGGGAGGAAAAAAAGTAATAAACTGAGATCCTAGCAATTTCTCAAGTTTTCTCTCTCCATCATCAAAAAGTTAGAAAAAGCAGAAGAATATTTTGAAAAATTCCTTTGCAGAATCATTTCAGGTGTCTCAGAAATATGAAGATAAGGCTGGGCTCTGCTCTGCATTTATTATGGATTATTTTGCTGGGAATTTTTGCTGCGTCTTGGGGAAATGAGGGAGGAGAGAGAGAAGCAGGAGCCACATGAACTCAAGGATTTTCTATGACTTCTGTGACGGGGGCATCTCAGGTTTGAAATATGCTCAACAAAGGAGTTGCTCTTAACAGGGCTGGCCATCACACCTATTTTGAGGGTAGGTGGAGGAGTCAGAGGATGAGTGAGAGACTTGTTCACGTTGCCAGATGAGAGGGTGGATTCTTTGCAAAGGAAAGAGTCTGATCCAGCTCCTTCCCAGAAATGCTGACATTGTCCCTGTGTCTTCACCTCTCCTGCTGCTGGCAGAATGCAGCAAACAGCCAAGGTGGCATCAGCTGACGGACAATGAAGTGATCAAAAGTGGTGAGAGCTGTTGTTTCCAGTGAAGTCAGAAGAAGTACCTTGCAGGGCAGACCTGTGAGTGGCGAGATGGAGAATAGCTTGTTCCTGTGACTGAAATAAGAGTGGAAAAGTTAAATGAAGAAGTCTGGCTTTTGACCTAAGTGAGGAAATGAAGTCAGGAGCTACCAGACCACAGAAAGTCATTTCTGCAGCTTTTGGTCTTGAAGGCTTGTTTATTTTTGAAGTGTTTAGCAAAACCTTCTGTGGCATGAACATGCCAAAATAGCAGCTTGCACTCACTCCGTGAACTCTCCAGCTGGTCACTCCCAAAACAGATGCCACAGGATGAAGATGGGCTGCCTGTGCCTTCAGAGGAGAAGGGAACCTGGAGAACACGGCTCTGTGTGTGTGTGACCATCGCAACGTGGGAACGTGTGAGGAGACCACAAGTGTCACATCCCTTATTTGCAGTCTGCAGCTTGGTGTGAGCTGTGCAGGTCAGGGCTGGTTATTACGCATTCCCTGTGCAGAGAGCAAGACGTGAGTTCCTCTAGCGCTGGCACGCTGAACATCTTTGTCTGCTCCAGCTGTCCAGTAGGCAAACAGGCCAGTGTTTTATTAAACTGAGTGTTCATGGACATCCTGGACCTCCTCTTCAGATCCTGCATTCAAACAAAAGGAAAAAGAAAAGCATCAGCTACAACTAGCTGAACATTCCCGGGCTCTGCAGCTGCTGGGGCCTTGACCCTGCAATACAGAGAACAGATGCTGCAGTGAGAGCCACTAAGTTTCTCCTAGTATTTTGGAAGGGCTTTTCTGGCCACCTCCCCGGTTGGTTTATTCCTCTTAAGTTAAAGCACAATGAAATGTAAAGGTAAGACATCACGCTACTCTTTAAATATTTCAGAAGGTACAGGCTAAGGGCATGGTGCACCCCAGGATTCACAGTGCTACGAGATGTTTGCTTTTGAGGGGCTTCGATGTTTGCTCTTTGAGGAAAATCTGTACAGCCATTTTAAAAATTATTAGCAACAGAAAATGACACCGATTCGTCTTCACACGGTGCCACAGCCAGCACCTGCCAGGGACAGGGGGCAACAACAACAGAAACCAGACAACAAAAGCAGACGGCAAGTGATGTGCGCGTGCAAACAAGGGCTGGCGCCTGCGTTCCGTGGTGCTCAAGAGGTTGCACAAATTGCTTCTGTCCCAAACAAGCCAAACCCAACGAGTGGTGGTCGGCCACAAATGCCAATCCCTCATGCCCAGCCAGTGAGGACTGCGGCTCGTGCTCTTCACCAGCCTGGTCCACCTGGTGAATTATTGACAGGCGAGTGCTGAGTAGTTTACTTTGAAACCTTCAACCTAAGGGCTGCCTAGAAATGGTGCACCCTGAGTTCCTGCTTCAGATAGTCCGTTTCTCTCTAAGTGACTGAGTGTTGATGCACACACCACGGTCCCTTTCCCAGATGTGTCTCGAGTCTGCCCAGAGCCTCACGCAGGTCAGCACAGCCCAATAAAGGCATACACGCATAATTTTTCACATTTCCCTTTTCCTGAATGTTTCTGAGATCAAAAGGAAACAAACGCCTGTATAGATATTCATAGAGCAATTCAGAACAACTTTTCAAAACAGTCACAGCAAACTCTTGTTTGTTATAAATCACCAGCTGTAGGAACATGACCTTGGAAAATCAAATATATGGGAAGAAAACAAACAAATGAGATTCTGCCTTGAAAATGTAGCTAATAGACGTGGGAAAATTAGTGCACAGACACAGTGTTATACACACACCTATGTGTGCAGGCATGGCCAAACTACCAGAAGACAGAGTTTGAGCGTATCTGACATTTGTGACTTGTGTCACCAGTACAGGGAATAAGCTGCTGCCAGCTGCTGCTCATGTGCAACACAAAAGAGACTGTACAGCTTCGATCACTCTGTCATCTGTCAGATGCCCTGAGTCCCAAATAGCATTATTAAAATATTTTCTGAAAGCTGTGCCTGTGTGAGTGTCCCCTGTTATACAAACAGCAAGGAAGGTTAAAAAAAGGTCTTGAATCGGGAGAGGTGGTAGAGCCTCAGCTGCTGAACTGGCCATGGAGACCCACACAGGGCAGTGGCCTGAAGGAGCACACCTCGGTCATACAACAGAAATTGTGTCCTTTGGGTATCAGGTTTTAACGGAGGTCTTTTTCTGCCCTCTAATCCCTTTCCCCCTCTCTAGTAAAGATCAAAGACATGACATGAAAGGGAATGGCTAAGAGGATGAGCAGGAGATGGGGGAGAGGGGGAGGATGCTGACAGTGGGCTGCAGGAGGTGAGAATTCCCAGAGAGAGAAATCTAGAGACGTCATCAGCCTATGCTGGGAGTAATCTGGCTGTTCTGGGACGAGATCCGTGCGTGCTGGGGTGGTTTAGGAAGCCATCTAGCTGTAAGTCACTGCTCGTTGTCTGACTTCTCTTAAAAGGATCTGTTCAGCGTTGCTTGAGGATTGATTCTTCAGTGAAACAACTCCCAGGTATGGTCTCCCAGGGGAGAGAGGCAGGGATGTGTCTTTATGCAAACCCCACCAAGAAAAGCTGGTGGAGGTGCTCAAGGAAGTGGCATAAACTCCAAGATCATGCAAGCATCTTTGGGATCATCTGCGGCACACTGGTGATGGCCGTGGGCAGCGTTATTCCCTGCGATGCCAGTGCACGGCACTGCCTGTGCAAGTGGAGTTTCTCCAGGGGCTGCGGACCGAGATTCAGCCTCACCTTGCAGCTGGGCGAGGTAAGCACATACCTGGAGGGTGCTGCATCCCACGGGAGCACCGTCAGCTTCTGGAAACCCTGGTTTAGGGACTTCCTGAGCCAGAGGGTGTATTTGCATCTCTGCATTTGATAGCTCTTGATCTAGGCTTTTGAACTCATTTTACTTCTGGCACCTACATCCTCCGGGCAATGAGCACCAGTTTCACTGCACACCGTGCGTTACCTTATTGGGTGTTTTAAAGCTTCTCATTCCCATTTCATGCCACCACTTACTTTGTTATAAGCACCAGTGTGTCTTTCTTATCTGCCTTCTCCTCTGCTCTCCTGATTTCATATCTTCTCTTTCATATCCTTTGCTAATTATCTTTTTCCCACATGAAAGTCTCTATATTCTTTCTGTTTTCTCAGGAAAACCTCAGCACTGTGATTATACTCGATACCTTTCTGCACTTCTCCCAAGTCTTCTGTACCATTTTTTGAGAAGCAATGATCCGTGGCGGATGCCAGCTGTGAGAGCACCCCAGACTTAGACACCTGCACAATGGCACTTGCTGCTTGTCCCACATTTGTTCCCAGCTAGCTCCTAATAATAATTTGATTTTTACTTAGAAGCGGTTCTGCTCATGTGTGGCATTTTGTGTCCTATTTTACATGGGATTTCACGCATCATTCAGCAACGGGAGATCCTTCTGTAACGCTTTGTAACCAGTTTTAAAGCTGCCAATCCTGAAGGATTTTGTCTTTTATAAACTTCACAATCTCCTCTCCTTGTCCAGGATATTTATGAGCTTGCTAAAAGCTGCAGACAGTTGGAGAACTCCACCTTCCTCCTTCTCAGAGTAACTTTCCTCCATTAAGACTGATCTGCACTTTGTCTCCTATTTTTTAGGGAGTTATTTACCTATGAGAGCACTTTCCCTTTTATCCTCTGAGAGTGTCATTCCCCTAAAAGATCTGCGAGGCGTTATCTCTCTCTACAAAAGTTGTGCTGCCTCCTCCCCTGGTTTTCACATTTAGCCATGTGCCTACAAGTCAGACCCTGTATTTGAATTTTTAACAATTCGCTTGGCAGGAAAGTCAGGCTCAGGGTTCTGTGGCTTCAGCTCTTTCAAGCTGATATTTCCTTCAGCTCTTCCTTCCGGCTCTGGGCACGGGTAACAGATTGCAGTCTGCGTTCGTGATTTAGCAGTTTTGTGCTTGAGTCGCTGCGCGATGCCCAGGTGAGGGATCTGCAGCCCTGGTGATTTGCTACTACCCACTTCATTGATCTGTTCAGGAAAGCTCAGACTGGTGATTTGATTTACGAGAGATCCTCTACCCCGTGCCCTGGATGGAGATGTGTCTGGGTGAGAACCAACTCAAGCACTTCCACTCTGGTCGCTAATGCAATAAGTTCAGTTTGCTCTTCTGCTATGCAGTTGCAGCCCTGCACATCCCTCCGAGACCTGTGTTACTCCCTGGATCTGCAGAGCCTCCAGCAGCCTTTGTCCTTCTGATGGAGTTGAAAATATTGGCACTACTAGTCTTTCCCTTTTTCACAAGTTGTTCACAGAAATCTTTCCTGGCCTGCCTCACCGTGGCTCTGCACTTAGGTTTGCATCCAGCTCTTTTCTGATTTCTTTTTCTAGCCACACCTTCGCTTTGGAAGAACAGCCTCTTGCTTCTAATTGCCCTTTCTGCTCTGCTGCTTGGCCAGCCCTTTTCTGGGGCTTTAAATGATCCCTGTGCCCAGAAGCATCTTACTCTTTTGACTGCTTTTTTTAGTATTACTTGAAGAAGACTCTCATGCAGATGTAGGCTCCTCTTCTGCAGCCTGTGCTAATGCATTACAACCCTAATGCCATACTCCTCCTACTTAGGTGCAATTGGGGATTTTTGTGTTACTTGTCATTGGACTTTACACTCTCCTTAACACATAGTGTCCCTACCAGAAGAGACACACTCTTCTTCTCTCTGTAATTTCACCTGGGAATTACAGGGTCCCACTGTTTGTTTGTTTTGTTTTGTTTTTTTTTTAAACTGGGTTTCTGAAAAGTTTAAGTCAAAACTTTAATTTAAAGCCGGGCTTTCTAATTCACCCACTTATATTTTTAGCTTTACAACATTTATCTAGAGGCATATATGCATTTCTCCTTGATATCCTTGTCTATTTTTTGTGTCCTGCTTACATGGGACTGTCTACTGAGATTGTTCTTTGCTCTTTTCACTTGTTCTCTATTGATTTATGTCTAGGCCCTTTCTAAGATAAAGAACCAATGTGATTATAACTCAGAAGTTGTGTTATCTCAACCAACACATTTCCAGCTTGATGGCTTTTCTGCATAAGCCTTGCATGAGCTCCCACTCTCTTCAACTGTCCTCAGTTCCTAATAAAGCTAAATCCTTCCTTTCTAGGTATTTTCTCAATCTTACAAGGAGTTTCTGACACTCTGGCTGGTCCTGAAAGCATCCAGAGAGGCTATTTCAGTCAAATAGACATAGAGTCTGAATATATAGCAGCTAAAGTCATATAGCTGCTTTCAAAAACATTGGTCCTTCTGGCTCCTTGTGAAGAGAGGTAAGAGGGAACGAAGGCTGTGTGTGCTTGGCAAAGCAGGCTGGCACTGGCTCTGGGTGGGTGTCAGCCTTCCCCCATGATGCCATCAGGAGCTGGGCACAGACCTGAGTTGCTGGGACTGTCTACAAAGAGACAGAGGCATCACAGCACGGACCCTTGCAATGCCCTGGACTCTGCAGCACCCAGCACCCTGTGTTAGGTGCACAGGCTCCTGCTCTAGAGGCTTGGAGAGTCCTCCCAGTTTCATTTTGAAATGGGAGCTCAAAGTAGCCCTGACCAGCCGGCCCTCACGCCAGGAGGGATCTCTCCATGTGGAGTTCCCCTGCTGTGATCCTGGGAGGGATCCAGGATCCTGGCCATATGGTCCTGGCCATATCTCTGCCCACCGCCTCCAGCTTGGGGGACTACCCAAGACTCAGAGCTACCTGCAAACCAGAGAGACATCTCTGCGCTGCTGCCTCCTTATCTCTGGAAACAGCAGCATCCCTCCGGGCCCTTTGAAGAACCTCCTGTATCACCTCTCTGCAGCATCAGGCGGAGGGATCCAGGATCCTGGCCATATGGTCCTGGCCATATCTCTGCCCACCGCCTCCAGCTTGGGGGACTACCCAAGACTCAGAGCTACCTGCAAACCAGAGAGACATCTCTGCGCTGCTGCCTCCTTATCTCTGGAAACAGCAGCATCCCTCCGGGCCCTTTGAAGAACCTCCTGTATCACCTCTCTGCAGCATCAGGCACTTCTGCGCCTGGGAAAAAAAAAAAAAAATCTGTTCCTGGGAGTTAGTCTGGGAGCCTGGAGCGCCGCAGGCAGCCAGCACCATGCCCCATCCAGCCTCTCCCCCTGCCCTGCTGCGTCCTCAGCAGGCGCATCCCCACCAGGGGCCTGGGTGCGGTGTAGGGCTGAATAGATGCATGGGGAGGAAGTTATTATCTCCGCGGCACAATGGGCACGGTGAGTCACGAGTTTAAGGCCAGCATTTTAACAGAAATTAGGCAGCTAGATCTGTATTTGGTACCTAAATCAAACCGATTTGCCCGAGGACCCGCCGTGAGTCAGGGCAGGATGGGAGCCAGGCTCTGCTGGGAGCCAGCGCCTGCCCGTGCTGACTCGCAGGTTGCCGTATTCAGAGGAGCCTGAGAGAGCAAGACCCGGGAGCTAAACTCAGCTGGGTTCTTTCAAACAGCCTCGTCTCAAATGCATTTTCCCTTCCTCAGCGAGAGATACACAGCAGTGAGGCAAAGGGCCAAACTTTAATTAAGTCTGATTTCCAAAAGACACTAAAAAGCAACTTCTAAGCAACAGAGGCAGATGAGAAACCAGGGATGTGCAAATCCATAGACTCCTTCAGTCTGTTCTACTACCACCAGCCACGCACATGTCCTTCCTTACTGATCCCAGTCACCTGGGGTTGACTGAAGCAACTAGAGCCCAATAAGCCTTAACGATAATGACTCTGCCAGTAAGATGTTCAGACTGATGTAAGGACACTGAGAAACGTGGTCCCAGCCCTTCCTTTGGGAGATACTCCAGCTGCCAGAGATGCTTAGTTTAAAATAGCCACCTTATTTCGCATTTCTATTACTTTAGGGCGAGACTGCAGGGTTTGGTGCACTCATTTACGGCCTTGCTGCTAATTCAGGCCAGCATCTCCAGGCAGGCAAGCTCTGAACCTCTTCTGCTGTCAGTGATGCTGTAGGAAAGCCCACCGTGAAGGTACCAGGTCTCCTGGCAGCCAGAGTACCTTCAGCAAACCACCCTCATTCGCCTGCTTGCTGCAAGAAGAGGCAAACACCAGACTTACCCTGGCTGCCCTGCTGAGCTGGGCAGTGGAGGTGAAGACTCAGACTGTGCCTGGGGGTGCCCGTCCCTGAGAAATCAGGAGGAACCGTGCGGTTTCCCTCCCGTCCTGACAACCCCTCCTCCTGCTTTGTCAGCTCTGAGCCGGACTGTGGCACTAAACACTTCCAGAGTGGCCGAGAGCCTGAGCTGCAGGGCAGGGGAGCGCTCGGGATCAGGGGCTGGACCTCAGGCGAGCAGCGGTAGCCAGTGGGATGGCCGTGAGGAACGTGAGCATCGCCGGCTTTGGGCGAGAGCGAGTCCTCGGGCAGGAGAGCGGGGTCGGGCTCCAGGGGACACTTTCTTTTCCTTCGGTGATGACGGCTCTGTAAGCTGTGTCTCGGGGGCAGCAGGACAGGGGATGTGCCAGCTGCTCCCGATTGTCTGTTGGCATCTACACTGAAGTCCAACCTGTTTGGAGAAGCGGAGGGGGCATGAGGGGGCTCCCGGCCTTGCTGGGGACAGGCTGGCTGTCCTGCTGGAGCTACCTCTTGTAGCACAGCGTTGCTTTCCAGAGGCTGCTGACAGTGATGGCTTTTCTCAGTCCTCTTTTGTGTCCGAACACTGTGGAAGCCAACCTTGGCCCCAGGGTACCGGGATTTGCGCTGCCCAAGCCCCTGCCCGGACCGCCCCGGTGGACACTCTGAGTCTCTTCTGTAGTGATGGTGCTGGTGGTGATGGTAGTGGACGTGGCTGAGCATCTG